CCCAGAACGCCTATCAGGCCTCTCAAAATAACTCCCAGCAGCAACAGCAGCCAGGCCAGTATGTACCAGGGCTGGGCAGAGGAGAAACCAACAAAAACAAAAACCAAAAACAAGGGCAGCAACTGTGGCATCGGATGAAACGTAAGATTAACTGTTTTCTGGGTTAGCTAACACATGTTATCTCAGCTTAATTACAGCAGTGATTTTAATGTAGGTATCACTGCTTACACATTACACAGTCTTTCTAATACATTTTTCTTATAGAATAACATGACAAATACATCAGTACATGTTTAAAGGGAACATTGTGGACATGAGCAAGAAAACAGTTTTAGTTCTTTTAGTTTTTTAGGTCTTTTCCTTTTATCTTTTTGTTCACACAGAAGCACCTGGGACAGCTGCTGTGAAGTTCAATATTCCCAAGAGGCCCTATCAGGTTCAGTGTTCTCCAGTCTCCAATCAGGCTTTTCCTCCAGGCGAGCAGCCCTCAGGATTGAATCCAACTCCTTCCTCCCCAGCTACTGCTGTACCTGGAGGTGCTCCGACACGGTGAGAACTGGTCTGTTTCCACAGATTCTGTCTTTGTAAATATGTTAACTCAAAATCCTTTGTTTCCAGACCCCAGGACTGGCCCCAAGCCATGAAGGAGTACGTTCAGCGGTGTTTTGCAGCCTGTGAGACGGAAGAAGACAAAGACCGCACAGAGAAGGTGCTAAAGGAAGTCCTGCAGGACCGGTTAAAGGACGGCTCTGCTTACACCATTGACTGGACTCGTGAGCCATTGCCAGAGTGAGTTTAGCAGTGACTTATGTTTTCCTAATGTATGTATTTAATTATTCAAACTACTGCACATCAACTTTGCAGATTAAACAAATATTAATATGGTATAATGTGATATGTTTTAATTGAGTATCACAGAGGTGAATTCTGGGTTTGGTTCCAATACGTTTAAATTGAAACAGTCTCAAGTGATGTGTGTCTTTGGCTCTGAATTGTTGCAGATGCTTGTTGATACAATTGCCTGCCAATTGAGCACATACTGATACTTGGAGCTTTGTTTTCTTGCAGCCTAAAGGTCAAACAGTCTCGTTGGGAAGCTGTTCCACAACAGAGGACAACAGATAGCTCAGTTAGCCGTGGTGGAATCACTGTGTCTGCAGCTTCAAGAGGCAGGGGTGGTGGACACAGATTGGGCCATTACAGAAATATATTTTCTCAAAGGAGTCCATCTTCTAGTTCCTCCCATTCCTCCTCTCGCTCACCATCTCCCTCTCATGGCCGACAGAGGGATCGCAGTCACCAAAGGCACAGGAGAAGGTAAGACAGCATGTCTCTGCCTTTTCTTTGGAGACTGTAGATGCTCCTATGCACCTCTTTTCTAAATGTGTTGTGTCTTTATGCTCCCAGTGATTCCGGCTCCCAGTCAGACAGCAGTATTTCCAGTGACCTCCGACCTCAACTGTCAAGACGAAGTCAGAAAGGAGCACGTGGTCGTGGTAATGATAGGGATAGAGGACGAGGAGGTGGAGAGAGGGGACGAGGAAGAGGAGGAAAAGCCAATAGAGGAAGGCGGTAAATGAATAAATATTTTTATGAAAGTCATGTTGAGGTGTCTATTCAGGCCCTTTTATCATTGGTCACTGGGGATAGCTTGTAAATAACCTTCATTTTTCTACAGAAACATGGACGATTCCAGTGCAGTTGTTGGAAAAAAGAGGAAAGGCGGCAGTGCTGGTTTCGATTTTCATGACCCCAACAGAGAGGCCAAGAAGCAGAGTAGAGCAGCTCGTTTCCACAAGCAGCTTCGTTCAGAGCCCCTGGTTCTCTCCATCAGTACCCTGGACCTACCTGATGGAACACAGGAGTGCCTCAGCTGGGAGGACTGCCCCATTGTGGGAACATGTCAGGACATCACTAAGTCTTATCTACGTCTTACATGTGCTCCTGACCCCTCTACTGTGCGTCCTGTGCATGTAAGTTGTCTCCAGTCCGCCTTGTTAACATATTCTTGCTGTAGTTTGCGTAATATAATGTTTTTGGGTATATGAATATAATGTGCACTTTCTGGCCCTATGCATTGCAGGCTACCAAGATTCAGGTTTTCACCTGTTTCTTAACTTATTTTCACCCAGGTGCTGAGAAAATCCATGCAGGCTGTGAAAGCCCACTGGAAAACCCACCAGGACTACGCCTACGCCTGTGAACAGATGAAATCCATACGTCAGGACCTCACGGTTGGTTACCTTTACATCAATTTCATTTGTCTTTGTCATCTTACAATGCTCACCTCTGTCTGGGTTAGTTTTTTCTTCTTCGTTTTATTTACTTTCCTTTTCCCTGTCACTATTTAGGTCCAAGGAGTTCGTACTGACTTCACAGTGGAAGTGTACGAGTGTCACGCACGCATTGCTCTGGAAAAGGCGAGTTAATTTTCCTCCATTAGAGTTGCATTAGCTAAAACAACATTTTATATATATATATATATTTTTAAAACTGGTTTGAATGTTTGTCTTTAGGGAGACCATGAAGAGTTCAACCAGTGCCAGACCCAGCTGAAGTCCCTGTATAAGGACACTCCCTCAGAGAATGTTGGAGAGTTTACAGCGTATAGATTGCTGTATTACATTTTCACTAAAAACTCAGGAGGTATGCTCATATTGTCCCCCCCCCATATTTCTCCTCGCACATGTTCTCACCCTTTGCATGTTTTTCTTCCAAATTTTAATCATGGCCATTTATATTCCCTTCCAGATCTGACCACTGAGTTGGTGTACTTGACCCCAGCGCTACGGGCAGATGCGTGTGTGGCTCATGCACTTGCACTCCGGGCTGCCTGGGCATTAGGAAACTATCGGCGTTTCTTTAAGCTCTACCTGGAAGCCCCACGCATGGCTTCATACCTAATTGACAAGTTTGTAGAGAGGGAAAGAAAGGTTGCACTTCGGGCCATAGTTAAAACGTAAGTCATGTTTTATAAAGATGTATTGACAGATTTTAGGTTCTCATTACTAAATGCTAATTAATTTTTGTGTTTCATCTGTTCACAGGTTCAGGCCCGATTTGCCGGTGCAATATGTGCAGTCCACTCTGGGTTTCCCTTGTTTAGACTCCTGTATGACCTTTCTTACTGGGCTAGGTGTCACGTTCACCCCCTCAGACCCCCAAAAGATAGACTGTAAAACCAGCACAGCCTCTTTGGCTGCCTCCTGAGGGAGTGGGTGCTAGCACACTGAAGGGAGGCAGTAAGGGACCATTGTGGATCCTTTTGATATTCAATACACTGCACCTAGACACCTCAGACAGTTCAGATAGAGTAGTGGCAGACTAACAAGAAACATGCTAACATATTCTGCTGCAAGACCTGAATTTTAGATGCAGATGTAGTTTTCTGACAGGGAAATTAGCTGTTTTAAACATGAGGGCTAATATCTGCACACTGTCACTCAATATAAGTTAGTCAAGTGGCCAAGTTATCTCGCTAAATTTACAATGCCAGAGAAGTGAGCAAACATTTTAAATTGGGATTATCATATAGTCTCAGCACTTAGAGGCCAAGAGATCAGACAGCACAAGCAGGGAAGCGTTCATCCTCCTTTACCACCATCAGATGTCAAAGCTAACAGTGTTATGTTTTTTCCTTCCTCAAGTCAGCAGCTCCAAGACCTGAAGGTTCAAGTCTTGTCAGTCAAAGGGGAAACAAACAGCTCTTCAAATAATTTATCCAGCTCTCTGCTGTTTGAAATTGAGCCAATGGAGTCAGATCGGCTTTGTATTTTCCTCTAAGAGACAGTGAGATGACAAGGTGAGAAGATGCCAGCAGTTTGTCTGAAAGAAGGAGTGGTGGTTTGTATGCCCTGCCGTCTGTCCTGTTTCCTCATCGTGTCCACAGTTAGCTGTTCATCCTTGTCCTTGTCCCCAGCCCGTGAAAGCAATGGACTGAAATCTGAAGTCTTGTTCCTATGGGGTATTTAATTTGCTCATCACTGTTTTGAACTGAGTGGCCAGCTTTGGGAAGAAGTCTCTATCTGGTGAGCATTGACTTTGTATATGACAAAGGATACAGCCAAGTGTTCTTCATCAAGTTCTCGTCCGTACCGTGGAGCTGCACTTCAGAATCAGAGTAGCCAGTGGCAGAGGGGGAATCTGCTTTCATCATCCTCAGGTAGAAGTTCCTGCCGGCACCTAGAGTCCAACATACTGCGGTCAACGCAGCAGAGTGCAGTGAAGAATCCCATCTTTCATCTGTGTCTAATGTTTAAACTTCATCGGCTGTTACTCAAAAGCAACACGGCATCTTCAGGTACAGCTAAAGGAGAATTCTGCATGGTGGAGCATTAAAGAAAACAGGCTGCTTCTACACAAAGAATTAACGAGTGGTTTGTATGCTACATCTGGCTCTGGCGTTTGCAAGACTGGTAAGCAAAAGGGACTTCTCTGGAAGGAGGTGGATGATGGCCCAGCAGATGTTATCTCTGTTTTTTGTGTTGCTCAACAGCAGTATTGGCCTTTCTCTTCAGGAAAGGAAAAATTATGGACCTACACCCAGTTTTATGAAAACATAACAGGCTTATATTGGACAAGTTAATTATCATAACAAATTTGGCTAACTGCTAAAAGACGCCAGAAATAGTACTGCACACTGGTGTCTGAATGTCATATGATAAAGTATTTAAGTCAAAATGTGTTTTAAACACACAATTTAATAAATAGAAGCGCAAACTAGTGCTTTCATTTTTCCAGATGGTATGAAATTTCCTACAGTAAAAGCTGTAGCATAGTGTACTGAAAAGCTTCTTTAAGTGGTTTGGAATTGTGGAGTTAGTTCTTGGATGGGATTTTTCATCCCTTTTTTGCTCTTTTCAGATTTGTGCTTTTCATGACCCAACAATAATATTGGTAATTGGGAGAAGATCTATTAAAATAGTTAAAGCGGTAGTGATTAGACAATTCACAAATGAACCCCTAACCAACATAACCTTTGAAACTATCAAACGTATTTTGTAATTTGGGCTGTCGTACAAAATGACCAAGCTTAAACTGAAAACAGGTTATTCCTCATAATCAATTTTTTTTTTTTTTAATTTTATTTTAGCAGTATTAGTTTCCACTAGAAATATTGAGCTTGAGGTGTTTAAGACTGTGGTGTAACTGCCCAGGACACAAGTGGCTGCAGGCTTGATGTACAATCCACATGTCTAGTTGTGTAAATATTTTCTGATATTGCTGTGATTTCTTTTCAGTTAGTGCATAGGGTTGTTTTTTTTCCCCCTCCTCCCTCTTACCCAGGTAAGACTGACTTTTTTCCCCTGGGATCCACAAAATTCTTAGAACTATGATGTGAATATGTAAACTTAATGCATACAGGTCTGCTTTGGATTGTGTGCTGTGTATTCATCACAGTAGTTACAGGGGAAGAGTTGGTAATTGCCGGTGGTACAGCCTGAAAGCACTGGTAAACAAACCACATTCCGAGGGAGGTCATGCTCAAATTCAAAGAGCTGGTTGTTTATAACACTCCCACATTGTGTCACTTGCCTGTTTTTTGACAAACAACAAATTCCCATCAATCTGACAAGTCACTTGCAAACCTGGACCATCAGTTTTGTTTTCACGCTCTTCATTATTGCAGACATTTTGTGACGATGGTGATCTCAACATGTTCTCTTTCTTTCCCCTTCATCTACCTTGTCCTTTGTCCTCCTTGCTGTTCCCTCCTCTCACTCCCTGAATCTCTCTCACACACCACCAGACTTCTCATTCTTCAGCTCTTGGTACTGCTGCATTGCAGGAGCCCACGGAGTGATGATAAGTGGGCGAACCTCCTCCAGACGCCAGCCGGAGAGAGTGAATTGTGAGCAAACATGGTTTGACCCACTCAAGTCGAAGCCATACAACTGCAAAAATACATGGGAGCCTCACATAATGAAATGTGGCAAATGTTGAGCCACATGTGATTTGCTGCTAACCCAAATATTGAAACATTTTTCTGTGTAACATGATGCCTAGTTTTAAACCGTGTTTGATAGTTTCCATGTGCTGTTTTCTTTTTGTCCAGACACATTTCCATTTTTTGATTAATCTGTCTGCAATTGTTTGCTTGTAAAATAAGTTATCTACTTTTTTTTTTCCATGTTAGCCAATCTATTTTATGATTAGGAATAATTTAGCTTGTTTGCTGGGCATGCTTGTTTTCAGTCAGTTGTTAGCTTTGAAAAAGAGGACCCCCCAAAATAAAATGTGTCTGGACAGCCAGAAGTTGTAGTCATCCTCAAAGTTTATCTGTATTTAGTTTAGTTTTTTTTTTTAATATATAATATTTAGGTAGAGTTGTGAATGACCGCTTCTTCACATGTGATGAACTTGTTGACTGTGTAAATGTAAAATTTCACACAGGCTTTGTGTGTAGAGGATGTTTGCTATATAGACATTTTTTGTTTTGGTTTTGGTTTGGTTTTTTTGTGGAAAACTCACCCCAGACAGCTAACAGGATACATTTTCATTTAGGAATTTTTTTTTTTCCTCCTATGATGCGTGAGTCATGTTTTCAGTATTCGTTTGCTCCCATGTTAATGTATACCTCCATCAGTTTTTGTAACTCCTTCCCTGACACTTGAACCCCCATGTCTCTCCCCTCATCTGTGGTCATTTCCCTTTAACCCATCTTCATTTGAGTTTCTTGTCTCTGTTCTCACTTCCTGATTCCCTCCCTTGCATGCTGCTCTCCTGATCTCTCCTGCACATCTCTAACCAGTATTTTTCTCTTCTTATTCTTATCTTTTCCTTTTAATATTGAAAATGTTGGTGACTGTTTGCCTTGTGCAACTAGTCACTCTCACTAGTAAGTATAGTATTGTGTCTGCAGTGCTTTAATAGTTTGTGTTGCAGCTCACTAACACCTGGAGTTAAAGGTTTATCTGCAATGTCTCCTCCCTAGTCCCCTTCCTCTACAGATCTGATATGATAACTGCCATTTTGTAAATAACTTGTACATATTCTCTTTTGAGAAAAAAATCTAATAAAATTCAAGTATGAAGGGTAAATAATGTGATTGCTTATTACAACCACAAGTTGTGGATTCATTAGCCAAGTGGATAAAACAAGCACAAGTGTTTTACATGGTCTATTTATTGTGAAATGTTATGGAGTGAGAGACACTGGTGACACTGAGAAATAGACTAGATATGAGATCAGTTAGGTTACTTGACACAAGGAAGCAGTTCTCCTTCATCCAGCTCTCACATTTTAACATGAGGCTAAAGATGACTGTCATTGGAGTAGTTGGGTGAAGCTGGTATTTGGTGGTGCAGTAAAAAGGAAAAGTTGAAATTTGAGAGCAAGAACAGAATATAAACCAGCAACAAAAGAGAAATATAGAAGAAATAAAAACTACATGCAGTTAGTCATAAAAAGGAAAGTACAGCAAATAACTGAATTGGGTAATTTAAAAGGTTCAGCAAATGGGCCAGGACAGAAACGATGTACAGCAGGCGAAGGTTTAAAAGAAGCTTTTTACAGAAAGTGCATTGAAAATAAAAATGTTTCAACCACCAATGAAAGCCTCATTTTTGTAATGCTTCCAAATACAATATACCTCTACATTTGTTTATAAAGGCCCATCTAGTAACTTTACCTTTATAGTACCCTAAATGTCAATACATAGTGCAGCTTGTCATTTCATGTGTTAAATAGTTTTATAAGAACTGAACATTGTTTATTGATCAGTTTTCTAGTGTAACATACTGTAGTCTGGCTGAGAGTTTCACAGCTAGTGGAAAAGTAACAGCAACTACTTAGAATGGAGAAAGAAGCTAAAGTTAAGCTGCAGAACTAACTCCAAATTATATCAATAAACTCAGAAGGCAAAGAGAGCTAAGCTTGGAAAGGAACAGATAAAGACCAGAAGCTAACATGGCCAGAAAAATGACCTGCATAGTTTACAGGAGCAGAGGAGAAAACCAAAGGTTTCAGTTGCTCAGGGGGAGAAGATTTTTAATTTATTTTATCTAGGTACAACTATACCTACTACTACCAAGCTAGAATTAATCTGAAGTGCATAAAATAAATACAAGAAGGCAGACCAAGGCTAAATTTAAATACAGTGACGTAGAGCAAGACAGAAGATAGGAGAATAAAGAAAAAAGTAGTAATAAGTCACTAGAGAGAAAATGGAGTGATGAGAAAAGCAAATAAGGAAAGTTAAAAAAGCGTGAGTAGGAAACAGGCAGAGCCTGATTCAGTTGCAATTTATGGTCTAATGGGAACAATCATACACCCTCAGCAGAAATGCTGTATGTTTGCCAAATATTTCATAGACAGTTTTACACAGGCCAAGTTCTCTTTGGCAATACATGTGCCCAGAAACAAAAGGTGAAGCCCAAAGAGTGATGAGAAAAGAAAATAGACTGAGGAATCATAGTTACAAGAATCAGTAAAGAACAGAGAGCAGTTTTATTTAGAGGTAAAAGTGAAGCACAGCAGCAAAGAGCGCGACAGAAACAAAGACAAGACCGATAAAAAATGATCAACACAAATCAAGTCATTCAACAGTTCTGAGTGAGGAAAGGCGAAGAAAATACAGGAAAAGATGACAAAAAGGCAACATCTGACAAGAGTTTGAACAGAACAGAGCAGAATCCTTTAATTCATGCACAGTTTGGCCTCTAATCCTCAGTTTGTGTTGTACAGCTCACAGCAAAACAATTTTTCCTACTGCAGTTGGTGAACATGTACCTATGTGAATATAAAACAGGGTTTAAAACTACCCTGGGTGGTAGACATAACAAAAAGCACTGGTTGGGCATCAGCTCATCATGTAGTGAGGTAGAAAGCCACAGAAACAGGAAGTAAACTATGTTAGTTAGGATTTATGGACAGAAAAGTGGTGAGGAAAAGCAAGCTCTGCAGAATCAAAGATCACAAGGATCAGTAACGAGTGCTGTATGAAAAACGACTAATACTGTATATGAGAGGTAGATTGTTAGAAAAGGAAAAAAAGAAAAAACCAAATGAAATCCCAACTACATCCTGGCAAATATTAATTCTGCATTTGTAATAACAATGCCAGTGTCACAGCTGTCTCTCAGTCAACTGCATAATTTAACACTGATGAATAACCTCACTCATACTTCACTCATTGCTCACACAAACACACAATCAGAGATTCTGCCAATAGCTATCAATATGTTATCTGACATGGCACAAAATGTTCTTTTTTGTACAGTTGCAACTGAGAAACCTGAAAAATTCTAGCTACTAATCACAAAAACCACTCTCAGCATTTTGCACCAGCTTCTGTAACATTAATATCAATAACTTCAAATACTTTAAATTCAGAGAACATAATCTATTAAAGGTTATAAGCAAATGTATATATATTAACATCCTCTTCTGTGTGGTAAGTATTCAGTGAACATGTCCTGCAGTATTTACAGCTTCAGTCTGTTTAGTCTCTTGAGGGAAGGTTGTGATGAAGACGAGGTAAAACCACTTCCCCATAGGGATTTCATAACCTGTCCTGCAGCATCCGTAGATCAGTCAATCCATCCCAGAGTTCAAGAGAAACCTCGTCTCCCTCAGTCTCAGTACGGTGTGAAGCGGTTGTATCCTCCTCTGTACAAACTGGCCTGTAGACAGAAGCAACATGCAAGTGTCAACACAAAGCTAACATCTTTCAGCAGAGACTGTGTGTTTTGACAGAACTCACCATTGTACCAACTCCATATGATGTTGTTGGTCCAACTGAGTGGTGATAAGGATCTGCAGCTGTAGCATAAACCCGCCCGTACCTGAACAAAGGCATCAAATGCAGATTTAGGATTTAGAACATTATGTTGAATCCAAATTCCCCAGTGAAAACATAATCTTGTAAGAGATTCTGACAAACAGCCACCAAAAAATCTACATAATATCAGTTTTTTTCTTTCTTACTTTTTTATTTTGAAATAATTCAGCTGTTCAGTTACACTTTGTGTACATATTCCATTATTTAACTGAAGTCAGAAAAGTCTAAACTAAAGTCAAAATCCCATAACAATCTGTGAAAATAAGAAAACAATATACACAATCTGATAAATGGTGGATTTCTGAGGCTAATGCCAATATTTTAGTTATCCTGTAACAACATGTCATGATGTTCAGCTATCGGCCAACGTGTACATGTGTGTGGTGTTTATTTGCCTACCCATCACTGTAGGTTGCAGTGGCAGCAGATGCTGGTTGAGCCAGTCTGTAGGCTGTAGGATAACCACCCTGTACAAAAATAAACAATAGATGAATACAGTGACAAAAGGCAGCGTTACTGATTTTTAAGAAGAGTGTGAGAGGTACGCGGCTACATACGTAGACTTCTGTTCCATACAGTCCATCCTGATACACCACCCTGATAAAAGTGAGTAGCAATAACATTAAAATGTTTGGCAGTAGATTTGGTAAATTGTGGCTCCTAGATAAAATGACTCGTACCCAGGGTAGGCAGGCACAGCAGCAGGTGTAGCTGCAGCAGAACGAATTGTGTTGTAGACGGCTCGGCCTCGCCCACGCAGTGTAGAGCCCCTGTAGGCCAAGGTGGGAGTCGCCATAGGGTATGGGAAACTGGCAACTACAAAAGCGTCGAATTAGAAATAGTATATTGTACCGTGCTGATGATCTCATAGATTTATTTACCTGTATAGAGCTCAGGTGCATACATGGCTCCCATGACAGGGTTGATCTTCCATCCAGAAGCTGCACAGAGAGAAAAAATGTGAAAACGCTTCTTCTCCAAAAGCTATAAAAGGAAACTACAATCTCCTAGAATCCCTCAGCCCACAAATATGAAATGTACAATGATGATATGAAGATGTTTCATACTTGAAATTTCACTGTTCACGAGAGGCGTCTGAGGCTTCTTGGTAACCACTCTTGCAGTGGCATTATTAACCTGGGGAGACAAAGAACAAGAAAACGTAATGTTAAAGGATTATTATGTAGAATATTAATGTGGAAACCTACAAATAGTGGGAAACTGTCACTCACCTCAATCTTTCTCCCTTCCACAATCGTCCCATTCAGCTTTTCTCGTGCTCGGTCAGCCTCGGTTGCACTTTCGAAAGTGACAAATCCAAAGCCCTGCATGTTTTTATGGGTGTATTGTCAATTAATATTGTTCATTAAAAATTCTTTTCCATATTAGTTTCAGCTCATAATATTTCTGTGATGCTCACCTTGGAGCCCCTCTCATTGAAGATAATTTCTACATCAAGAATCTTGCCAAATTGCTGCAAGTGATTTTTGACAGTATACCATTATTAAATGTATCGACAAAGCACATGATTTGCATTTGACTGTTTCCAATAAGGTTGTAATATAATAGTTTCTAGTTTAAAAGTACAGTTCATTTCCTACCCCAAACATCTGGCGGAGGTCAGGGTCTCTGAAGCGGAATGGGATGTTGGAGACATGGAGGCGTTTTGGTTGGGCCTTACCTGACCCATCCTCCTCACTTCCACTTCCTGCTCCACCTCCGGAAGACACCGACACACTCAGAGCCTGGGGGTCAGAGGTCACGGGGGCCAACGCTTCCTCCTGGCAGTGAGAATGTATGAAACAGGAGGTGGGAGAGGAGGAGGAGAAGCGAGCACGTGGATAGATGAAGAATAGACAAGAAGGCAGAGAACATGAACAAGCAAACAAAAACAGAAAGACGGAAAACAGATGGAAAGTGTATGATGAGACAGATGTGAAGAAAAACAGGGATAGAGCATCAGTAGAAAAGCAAAGAAAGAAAGGGAAAAATCATGAAATCAGTTCACAAATCTTCTTTCACATAATTTCTGTTTGTGTAAAAATTCAGTTGCATAAGCGTCACATGGCATTAGGCAAAGACCATTTTCATGAAATCAAGTGATCCAAACAAAAGTTCAAAGAGCATTCAGCAACCAGTGATCCCTCTCAGGCAAGATGTGAGGAGGCGTGAAAAGGGCTCCGTTTTAGTGAGGCGTCTTTGAATACATGCCTGTAGGAGAATTGCTAAAGACTAATGCACAGTACACTACCTATAAAGATATCTGACACTAAACCTACAAATGTTCACTCCAGCTGTGGCAAAGAGGGTTAAATGAAGTTAAAGCTCCCCAGGGAAACAAGGACTGGAACTTAAGAGAGCTCATCTTATCTCAGCAGTTATCACTGATAAAGTAATGTATCTAACTTATTAAAACTGCCCCATGCAGAAAAATTCAGACTAATGTGCCAAATCCAAAACATTCACTATCCCACAATGCACCACGATTCTACAAATGTGTGTGTGTGTGTGTGTGTGTACACATATGGGCACATCTGTGTTGGTCAACCAGCATCATTAACCATTGCAAAACCAAGGTTAAATATTAAGACAAATTAATGAGTTTGCTGAGATGACAATAAAGGGTACCAGTATTATTACTAAATGAGCATATGTTTGGCTGATGCAGAAGTAGGAGAAAAAAAAAAACAACAACAAAGAAACAATTACAGCAAAGAAAACTTAAAACTGTGCTGATATGTGAAAACATAAAGTCTAACTTGAGTATTAGCATTCTAGTTCCAAGAGGCAGATCAACAGTGGGAAAGGCCTCAGTGCAGCAGTGAAATATAATATTAAACCAAACAAGGCAAAAAAAAGCTTTAAAGGGAAGACGGTGGTGGGGTGAAGGTAAAGGGGCAGAGATCAAAACTCAGTCTGAGGTCACAGTGCTGCTTTTCTGCCAGAGGTTAAAGGTCATGTGTCAAAGGGCATAATTAATGAGTAGAGATTGACAGGAAAAGGTACAGAAACACACTGACAAACATATCAATACACACAGGCCACTGGATTATGATATACTGGCTGGCCGTGGCTAACTACAGTACACAGCAGACCATCATCCGCCCACGTACACACCACAGACAGGCTAGAATGGACAGGAGTGGGAGACAGGTAGAGGGGGTGGAGTTGGGTGGCGGTGTCATGTCACGATGCAGAACTGTTTCCGGACCTGAGTGATATTTCAGAGGGGGAAAGGGGGGTCATCTGGTCAGCCTCCCCCTTTGACCCCCTCCCTCCATGGCGACGTCTCAACTTTTCCCGAAAATCAGCACGGACCCAAGTATTTCAGGGACTCTAGTAATAAAATATATAGATGGGGCCACAAAACACCATTTATGAGAGGAGGAAGAGAGATGTGCTGCAACAGCAGGATACAGAGCCGACCTGACACACACAGAGTATACACCTCAGTCATAATGGATGTCTTCATGCTTGCAACATTTGACTGGTCACTCCTTCTCAACTGCAGCAACCTAGCAAACCATTTCTTTCTAAGGACCAAACCTAGTTCCATATGAAACAGTATTTTTAAAGATATTTTAAAGAAATGACCATCTTAAAAAAGAGAGAAGAAATGTGGGTTTCTGCACTAAAGTCAAGAAAATATTTATCAAATTAGGAACTGGGTATTTCAGAAAATAATTAATAGTCTTATTATAGTAATGTATTGTATTTCTATTATCATTGCATAAAGGACTAAATAACTCACTGTTGCAGTTTCATTTTACTGCAAGTTGGCTACTTAATCTATAAAAAGGCATCCTTTTTTATTTTTATATGTTTACCTGAAAATGGTCACTGTTAGATTAATGTAGGTAAGTTAAAAAGTAGAGTATAAGTATAAGGTAGATATAATGAGTTACTTCCAGCCACTGGATATAATCTTACTGCACTGTCAGATTTCTTAAACACAGCTACAGACAAAAATGGCTTCATCAGCAGTGATACATTTACATTAAAAAAAAATCCATTACAATTATTCACTTTATCTGTCTTGCAAAAAAGTCACTTTGCTGTAACAACCTTGTGCACTAATTCCTTTTAACATTGTGAAATGAAATTTTATGCACTTCATTGTAAACTGTCAACATCAACACAGAGTCTCACAGCTATCACCTTGCAGGTTTTCTATTGTATAGGCAGCTACAGTAAATAAGACACAGGGGAGAAGGGAAAGTAGGGATTTGTTTTCAACAACAAATCCCCTCTCAGCTCCCCCCCCCCCCCCCCCCCCCCCCCGTCTAGACAGTGTGAGCAGCATTCCCCTACATGGACATAACAGTGGAAGTGGAGCTCTAAATATAGAAGGAAACTGTGCCTGGCCGTGTTCTTCTGATAGGATACGTTACATGGAAGGGCTACCTGCAGCGACAAGCTTCTTGTCACATTAAATGTCCTGAGGATCAAATTCTACTGGGACATGAAATTCTTGTCATTTTGTGAATTCCAACAACTTCACAAACTCTTCTCACCGTGGTACTGGGTGTCAGGCTCTCTGCGCCTTCGTGCTGAGGGCCCTGATAAACTCTGAGCTGGGGATGGTCGGCATACTCTGAACTGGGATGTGCCGAGCTAAAGTCAAGAGGTGGCAGCCTGCCCGCAGATGTTGGTGGACCTTGACTTGGCGGGGGGTAAGGGGGAGGTGGACCGGAGGCAGGGCAGGGTCGCCACTGCCAGGGACAGCCTCCTGGGTGGGGCCTCCCTGAAAAAGAGAGAGGGGGATGTTAGTGACTTCGTTTTCAAAGGAGACAAGGGGAATCATTTAAAAACTGTGAAAAGGATCAATGCAAAAGTTTATTGGCACAAAACACAGGAAAGGTGTATGCCAAACCATAATCAGATCCATAAAACTGTGCACACACATACTTTAACAACCTGCACCTTAAGAAATCACAATCAACTTGAGAATGTGCGACTTTGGTGAACCACATGTTTCCCCCAAAACACAATTAACCATAAATATGCAACGCAAAACACTCATGAATATTAATATTCTTATTATATTGATTGATCTTCAATCCTGGATCCTCAAGCAAACCGGAAGTTGTTCCAGTCCACTATCTTTAAGGACATTCCAAAGCTCTTATTCCTGTTCTGCAGAGCTAGGAGCGAGGATACATGAGAGCATCCTCCACAGAAGGATGGTAATTGGGCAATTCAGATGAAGGATCAGAAGAAAAGATGTCTCATGTCTGTGTATGATGTTTCCTTTTATTCCTCTCTCCTCACATCTTTTCCTTACATCTTATGTGGGCAGGACTAAGACACAAGGAAAAGACGCAAGTGAGGGAAAGGTGGATCCATTTAAGAGAATTGGGATTCACCCATAGAGGTGGACTCTGCTGCACACCATCAGAATATGTTGTATTTGTAAAGCATGTAAAGTCTATAGACATGCACATAGTTGAGGAAATTAACTGTCAATATTCAAACATAAGCAGGCAGAATATTTAACTTTCTTGGTGTGAATCAGAATTATACCTTTAAGCCGGATCAGTATAAAGTCCGGCTTCACATCACTGCTTCACCATCTGTCGCTAATTTTCCTCATGTCCAAAATGGGTTTGAATGTGCATAGAGGTTCACACTTTTTTAAAATATATCCTGATTTTTCTCCAGGAAGTAGCATGTTTCAAGCCCTGTTTGTGTGTGTGTAGTAAGCCCCTGGCCAGGACAGCAGCATTACAGGTTTCAGACATGAGAACTCAACATCATACACACATGCACAACAAACCAAATGCCAGGTAACAGTGTATGAAAGAGTTTTGTTTTTTTAAAGGTAAAAACAGAGAAGATACAATAATGATTATCAATATTACGATAGTATAAAGGAACTGTTCACCATGAGGTTTCTGATAGCCCTGAATACCAAGTTCTTTAATATCTGCTGATTATTCCAACTTTCCCATTCCTGTCTGCACTGTAGAACAGAGTCAGATTTTTTACAGTTTAAACATACAGACAAATTGCACAGCAAGAATGAAGAATACGTGAAGTAGCTACTGTTTTCTCTGTGTGATGTCAACAGTCTGAAATATAGGATCATACGATCTGGTAAGAGATATCTCAGATTGGTCCTGAGTCACATTTCTGCCAGAATTGTATTGTAACTTGGGATGGGGAGTTTTTCTGCTTTACCTAAATGTCAGGAACTAAATGTTGATATGTGTTTCAAATTTGACAGCAATCCTTAAAAGTGCAATACCAAATCTGCAAAAAGCAAATCTGCTCACCAGCCTCTAAATGTCTATATGCCTATTTAAACCAAGATCTTTGGAACTTCTGGTTCAAATAGAAAAATAAAAGTTATTATAGTTAGAACTGAGATAACTGGTCAACTATTGATTAGTCCTCACTTAACTTTCATCAGCATTTAAGCTTCTAAAATTTAAGAAATCGTTACTTTTCCTTGTTTTATATGATTGTAAATGGCTTTTTTTAATTTTTAGATACTTAGAGAAAAAGAACTGTGGTATCAGTTTTGTAATAATGAATAATGAAACATCCATCATGTTTAGATTTTAGACTATAATAAATCACTTTCCTCAAATCACATTATATTTAAAAATCGTGCAAACAACCAAGTTTAACCCCCCATTTCAGAAACAGTCAGAATCAAGCTGTGAACTTTACATGTCAGCACAGATGAGACCAGCACAGAAACAGAGGTGAACAACATCCCAAACAGCCCGAAAACAAGTGAATTGACCAGTTGAAAGTTAAAGGCAGTGTCTTACCACTTTACTTGTTTCCTTGATCGCTGATGCGTTGTTCAACAGCTGCTGCATGTTTTAATGCCATCTAACCGCCCGCCCACCACACCATAAGTGCTACTCACCCACCAATCACATCAAATGATCGCCAGAGCAAAAAGAGACTTAGGGGCCACACCAGCTGTGGTCATCTGTAACTGCCACCTTGTTACCCCCACCCACCTGTTTTTGACCTCACGCACTCATGAACACACACATTCACTCACAGACACTCACCTCAAACTATAGACAGAACTCTTCTCCCATGATGAGGTATTTCTAAATGTACGTAAATGCTCCTTAAACCAGTATATCACTCTGAAAGGTTGCCTCTAAGAATACCAGGTTTGAGAGGTGAACAGAAACATCTGTTAAACATCTCATCCTTGACTACATACCAATGACATTACATGACTATGTTGCCTTTAAATAACTGAGGACTTTGCCTATAAAGCAATTTATTAAGTTTTAATTTGTGGTTTCTGTTTTGTTCTAAATGACATCTATTGTGTAACCAGTGTCATAAAACATTTAAAGTCTACTGAAAATCAGCTCATTCAACTGTTCTTTTACTAGAAATGTTTGTGACGTCATGCGCAAATATTTAAGAATTATAAACACATCTTATAATGGCAGTAAATGACAGTGAAACAACACAGACTACAGCCAAAACTAGCACAAATTACATAGGGAGTACAGTATCTAGTTCACTATTTAGAATTACTAGTAATTGTATTTATTATCTTGCGCATCTTGTGATTTTGTGCAACTTAATGTTTTTGCTCTGGTACATTTCTAGATCAGGGAGTATTCTCATAAATAACTTCACAAAATACAGTCGCTGATAAATTCCAGTCAGTGTTTCAGTGTTTATGAAAAATAGCTTAATCTCAGCAAGATTACATATCTCTGACATTATTTAGAAGGAAAGTGGTAAAAAGGTTCCTTCAGCCTGTAAGGAAGTATATAATCCTTGAAAATCCAACCTGGAAAATCCAGAGGTTTGTGCAGTCAAGTAAGATGATGCACCAAATTATAATTTTCATACAGCTACAGTATATCCCTAGAACTGCAGCAGATTCACCCAGAACATTCATAACACTGAAATTATGATTACTTGTTAACACTCTAAACAGATAAGTATTATATAACTATCTTTACCCTGAACACATTACAGTAGCCTACTCTTAATTATAACTGACCAAAATTGGAATTTTAAGGCTGATATCAATATTTAACAAATTGAGAAAATCTGATCTGATATATTGGTGATAATTAAACAAGAACAACATTTTATAAAGCCACATCATATAATTCACATCATTCTCATACTCATCAAACCATTCAGTGAATTTATTGGTCAGCTCTATTCTTAATGGAGTAGTTTTCTATTGCAATATCAATACTTTGACTGAAGTATATAAAGAACTTTTTACCAGATATGTTGAACTCATATGTTGTCTTACAAGTCAAATTCCACAAGTTCAACAACCACAGTCAGGATTTATTATTAAAGTTCTGTCCTCTGTCATCTTATAATGTTGCATACAGTATACTGTGTCTCTATCAGCTGTTGCACTTTAGAGGTGAAAAAAAACAAGTGATGTGCAGCTAAGTCTGCTAGAACTGTGTTTAGTGTAGCAAAATATTTAATCAAACCAAAGTATTAACTAAAGTGTGGCCTGATGATGGTGCTAGATATAAAGTCAGGGGATCACCAAAGTTATTACAATTAATTCTGAGGTGGACAAAATAGATTGTACCAAATACAGTATAATGGTGAAACACCCAGAGCAAGTCAAGACATTTCAACTGAAAGCACAAAAGTCAACCTCATGGTGGTACCATAGAGGAAAAGTCAGGGGAATCATGGGCATCAGTAGGATTCATTCTCTGGGGACAGTGAATGTCTGTACAAAGTTTCATAGCAATCCATTTAAAAGCAGTTGAGATATTTCATTGTGGGCCAAAGTGGTTGACCAGCCAATACCTTGAGCCATGACACTAAACATGACAACCAGTGACTGACTGTCTCATAACTAAACAGAGAAGTGAGGATAACATCTGTTATCTATTAGATATCACCGTCTGGCCCTTCTCTTGCTCTGTATTCTCACAGGCTTTGACTATCAGCCACTAAGCCTGATTCAGTATCACAGCGTCAGCAGGCCTACAGAAATTGCGTCGTCCTCTCTGCCTAGCAGGCTTTTTAAAATTTACATTTGTTCCCTGTTTCTCTCGCCTTCCTCTTCAGCTGTCAGTTCGTGGTCAGAGGTCAGCGGCTCTGAGCCAGGTGCCTGCTGGGACAGCTGTCACAGGATTTACACACAGACAGCACTAACTGCAGATGTGGCCTTCTGGTGCTGGCCAAGGTGCAAATGTTTGCAAACGTAGCTTATTAAATTAAACTTAATATTCCTTCCTCCATTCCTTGATTCCCTTTACTCTGGTCTATCATATTCAGGTTAGACTGACTTGTATTATGTAGTCCTTGATGCATAGAGACAGAGAAAAGACAGCCACAGGACTGACATGTGACAAAGACATGACATATCCCTGGCTGGGGTTTAAACCTAGGTTTGATAATTAGTTGTCCCAGCACAATATGTCAGTACTGGAAAATTAAAATGCTGCACTTCAATCATACAAGTCTTGTTTGACCAAACTGCAGAAGGAGCACTTTGTCTTTGGAAATACATTATTTTATCAACAATACAAAAATGTAAGGAGGGTAATTTAATGTGTTTAATGAAGTTTAGTGTACCGGCACATTTTTTAGAACTATCTCCTTTTCATAGCAACATTTATTAAAGTTTTGTACTTTCAGTAAATACTCCAGTACCATCCTGCATTTGAGCCTGAGCCATGCCTGATGAAGGCCTGACTGCACTGAGGTATGACAGCTCTTATTGTTTGTCCAGTATAAACAAGCCTAAAAAGCTTGACGCAATTTTGACTGGAAAATGCCACAAAATTCATTTTTTTCCTTACTTTCATTTCAGTCAGTTTCAAAGCACATTTCCTTCTACACCTGTTTTCTCATGTTTCCAAAATAATCATGTCTTGTTAGTTAGCAATACTATGTGAAAATTATGTATAGCCTGCTAAACGCTCAGCTCTAAAATAAACAAAAGTAAAAATATGTATACAAGAGGAAGGTTTTGCATTTATTTTAAGAACAGTTAATTGTAGAAAACAAGATAGGTGACAGAATCTACTTCTGTGATTATCTGCTCAGGAGAGGAGGGCTAAAAATACAGCTGGTGTGAAGCACAGAAACAAGGTAAAGAGATACCAGATGCACTGTGGTATGTCAGGGACACACAGACATACACACACAGCCTGCTGGTAACCCAGAGCCTGGGGGATTAAAGATAGTCCTTCACATGTCCTTAGTATTAAATAAATAATATATTTCACAATCAGTGTACTTTGCCAGTCAGGCCTCTTTGATTTATCATTCTTCTAAAATAAGTAATACAACAGTAAACTGAATCAGACATGAGATGTGACTCACTGAGACAGAATTTGTCTTGTTCGGTGAATTAAATGCTTTCCTCTTCACTGGGAATATGGTTTATTAGCCATACTGACATTCATTTATAATTTACAATAAAGAATTAATTTGGATTTGAAATTATTAGTCGATCAACAGAATGAAAAATGACAGTTCTGATAATTAGTTGCTTCAGTCATTTTATGTGTAAAAATGCAACGATAAAAAGGATTTCAGCTCACCAAATGTGAATATTTGCCAGTTTCTCATATTCTTCATAAATTGATCATTTTGAATTTTGATCATATAAAACAAAACATTTGAACATCTTCGGGACTGAGAAATGTTGATGAGCACTTTAGTTAATATTGAGACATTTTATCAACAATTTAACCTAGTAAACAATCACTTTGATGAAGTCTTTTGAAGACAAATATTTATGTGAGATTTTGAAGTTACAAAGCAAACAAAGTTTACCTGAACTATGCTGGGGTAGCATGTGGTTGTCTGTGGGTACACAGGGAGTCCATAAGGCTGGAGGATCACAGTGGGTGAAGAGAGCATAGCCCAAAGCCACGCACAAGGATACAGGGAACAGTGGACAGTGGGAGAAAAGGAAAAGGAGAGCAGGGGTAAAGCAAGGGTTGATATGCACACAGAAGATCAGGCAATCTGGAAAAAAAGAAGAAAAATCCCAAAAAGAGAAAACAGAAGGTCCAAAAGGATGAGGGGACTGAAGGTTAAGACTATTTAACCTTGCAGATAAAACATGAAAATAGATAAATTCCACAAAACAACTGGTGTCCTGACCGGAAAAGACAGGATATAGGGCAATGAAAGAGAAAGCAAGTGAGCCTCTGTGTGTCCATCAGTTGATCATGTAGCCTGACAGACAGAAACACATGCTCAGGCTCCCATTACAGAGTTATATAAATAGTCACCCATGTCCTCTGAGTTTACTGAATCACCACCCTCACTTTCACACACTTTGTAATGCAAGATTTGCCATAGCTTGTTACGTGATTTTGTGCAGTCACAGTCTATTCAACAAGTGTTATGAGTAAAAGAAAACCCTGAACCCAGAACAAGCCATATGGCTCCATATATACTCAGAAGCTATATGCTCCAGCATATCTACAAGCAAGTAGAATGCATGGCTGGATTACCAGAGAGGGCCACCGGACACAGGCCAAGAAGACCAATAGGTCAGGGGACCATTGGTCCTGTATGAAGTGAAATATTTCTAGTTTGAAAGTCATAAAGCTCAGTTAAAAGACACAAAACATAAATAAAGATACACAAAACAACAATTAAAAAAAATTATCACAAGATGGGGTTAAATCACCACAAAGAGACAAAAAATACAAACAACATGATCGCTCATATCCATCTGGTGGTCTTATGTAGGAGAGGTGGGGGGGCCTTTAGACTGCCTGTGTCCAGGGGACCATTGTCTCATAATCAGTTTGTGGCGGAATAAAGATACAACATACATCTGACACTAGTACAACAGTATTTTCAGCTGTTTGCTGTTTGACCAACAGAGTGCAACAGCACCAACATTTCCACTTCCGTTTTGACACTGAGGGGCTTGATGGGAAATGTAGTATGAAGATGCCCTATAAATAAATGGGAACTTCCTTTCACGTCCTCTTTACTGCGCGAGCCTGAGTGAGGCAGGTATGAGGATATGCTTCAGCTTATTTCATAACACAAACTCATAGTATTTTGGTGTTGGAATTTATAAATGTTAACAGGCAGTGAAAGGAATCTTGGATGAATGTGCCTTATAAATAACTGTTTTTTTTTTTTTTACTGGATTGTTACGATAACGCTTATTCGGCTAAGCTAACACTAGCTTGTAGCATTGAACAACGTGGTGCGATGCAGGCCGCATCTGTGGGTGCAGCACCCGCCTTGTTTGGTTGATAATTTGCTGGTTTCTAGTGCAAGTTTAAGTTATTTATTCGAGTCACATACGCCTTTAGTTGTTGTCTGGCGTTGCAGTGTTGTGAATAGCCTCGACCCACATTGTCTCTCATGTAACCTAACGACAGCAAGCTAACCGTGAAGCCATCTGCTGGGTTTTGAGAGTAGAGTAGGTACTTTATTGGTCCCACAGTGGGGAAATTTCTGAGGGTTAGATACCTGCGACTAAGTAATATTTCACAAATAAATAAGACTTTACATCTCTGTTATTACTATGCATTGACTTTACAAATATGGAATTGGTACAGTTTTCAAAGCTGGTTTAGCAGAGAAACGGTAATCACAGACCTCAGTTTGTTATAGTATGAACATTAGTTTTGATTTAAAATCAATATAACTTTTCAAAGCTCAAGTCTAATCTAGTTAATAGTCTTAGTGGAGTTAGTTTCTGAATGTCACCTTGTTTGTGATATAGAAGTTAAAGCCATTTTCAGATAAGACGTGGTGGGCGATGTGCTCCACTGTCGAACCTGTTTATTTCTATGCGTTTAGTGGCCCAAGAATATCTGTGCTGCACAGCGTAGGGTCGCATGTGCTGTCCCTGGGCACTGCGCTTAAGTTAAAGGGTTTAACTTGGGCACAGCGCTCTATGACCACACTTCGACCTGTCAAATTGCAGAGAATCTGACAGACCACAAAGAAAATGGAGACGCTGGTATTAGCAGACCCACACCCATTTCTTCTTTGCTGCAGCTCCTTTCCTCCTACTCACCAATACAACTAAATCCAGTTTTTTTTGCTGACATGTAGATGGATGTATTGTGCATCTCAGTCCACTGCTTGAAAAATTAGTTTATCTACTAACCACCTCTTGAAAAGCTCTTTGGTCACTTGGCAACTAGTATCCAACGTGTGCAATTTGGGCGTGTGCCCACCTACCCGCGATGAGCTCAGTGCATACCCCATCTTATCTGAAAATGGCTTAAGGCCATAGTGTCTGTTTTTCATCTGCTTCAGAGTTAATGGGAAACACTTTTTTAGAGCTTTGTATGAATATTTGCCAGTAAAATAATTCATGTTTAATTTACTTGATGATGTCCTAATTTTGCAGGCACACTTAAGCCGCCATGCCCGTTGCCAGGAGTTGGGTTTGTAGCAAGACGTATGTCACCCCGCGACGTCCCTTTGAGAAGTCCCGTCTTGACCAAGAGTTGAAACTCATTGGTATGTTGTGATTAACACTGTCACTGTGCAACACAGAATACAGCATAATTTTAAAATCCTTTAGTTCCACTCAGTGTCGCCCACTTTCAGTTACTTTCGGCCTGATCATACTGAACTTAGAATATGTTGTTCTTTCAAGGCGAGTATGGTCTGAGGAACAAGCGTGAGGTGTGGAGGGTCAAGTTCACTCTGGCCAAGATTCGTAAAGCTGCCAGAGAGCTGCTCACTCTGGATGAGAAGGACCCCAAACGTCTGTTTGAAGGTATACAAAATATATTTTAATTGCAGGTTTAATCAGTGTGTTGGCCAATGATTTAATTATCAATTGTCAGACCTTTCTATGGTGTCACGAATTCCTCGTCAATGAGGCCAATATTGTCACTTGACTCACATTGTCATTTTGTGCCCGTATGTTTGGAATGGTAAGCTCATGGCTCCCGTGTGGTTTTGTAGGTAATGCCTTGCTCAGGCGTCTAGTGAGGATTGGTGTGCTGGATGAGGGCAAGATGAAGCTCGATTACATCCTGGGTCTAAAGGTCGAAGACTTCTTGGAGAGGAGACTGCAGACACAGGTCTTCAAGCTCGGGCTTGCCAAGAGCATCCACCACGCCCGTGTCCTTATCCGCCAGAGGCACATTCGGTAAGTTCTGCAACTCCTGGTTAACAAATGTTTAATATTAAAGGGTCACAAGTCTTTTGAGAAACCATCAGTGCTTCCTCTTCCATCAGAGGACCAGCAGCTTGTAACGCTCTCCGCTGAGATCAGTTAGACATTTCAACAAGGTCAATTCGGTATCAAAAACCGTATACCTTGTCAGTAGACATTGTCCAGAGCCAATCCTGCTGCCAAGGCCTTAGACTTTACCACTGGTGTTGTGACTGTCAGGTAAGGTATGGGGGAGTGCACCTTGGGCAATTGATTTAAGATGTATTTTCAGATCGTCTTTGGTATGAATTTTCATCAATGAAGCCTGCAATAAAATTCCCTTTTAAATTTCTCAGTTTTTCACTTTTAAAACAGAACAAGCAACAATTTGTGCATTCTGAAGTCTCACCCCTCATTATCTCTGTTGACAGTGTGCGCAAGCAGGTGGTGAACATCCCATCCTTTGTGGTTCGCCTGGACAGCCAGAAGCACATCGACTTCTCCTTGAGGTCTCCATACGGTGGTGGACGCCCAGGCCGTGTCAAGAGAAAGAATGCCAAAAAGGGTCAGGGTGGAGCCGGAGGAGCTGATGATGAGGAGGAAGATTAAGAAAGATGTTGTCAAGGAAGTGTGTTCCAAAACTCCCTGTTCTGTAAAAAATTTCAATAAAATGTTTGGTCTGACCAGAGAACTGACTTGTGTTGTTCCCCGACCCCTGTCTGGACTTTTGTAGCTTTGTACATGTTTTTAACGTCGCATAATGACGATGTTGTTATAAGTGAAATAGCTGTAGTCTCATACTGAGAAAGTAATTCACCTTCAAATGATGTAGGCTACTAGCTAATGGATGGGACAGTTATGAGTGTGCCACACCCCTACAGAATGGTACAGTCCAAATGTGGTAGGTAGCGTCATCTCAGGGTTGATTAATAGAACTCAAGCCTATTAATCAACCCTAAACCTAAATGTAGTTAAAACTCATTTGAAAGTCTCTCGCACCCAAACTGGAAAACTCAAAAACCAGTTCTATTTCTTGTTTACCTTCCACCTGCTCATTCAGAGTTTTTAAGTGAATTCTCAGACTTTTGGTCTATTTAGTGCTTAGTACAGATAAAATAATCATAGTAGGTGACTTTAATATTCATGTAGATGCTGATGACAGCCTCGGTGCATTATGTTCATTGTTAGACTCGGCTTTTCTCAAACTGTAAATAAACCCACTCACTGTTTTATTCTCACCCTTGATCTTGTTCTGACGTATGGCATCGAAACTGAACACTAGTTTTTCCCCAAAACCCTCTTCTGTCTGACCATTTTCTAATAACTTTTAAATTTACATTAATGGATTATACTCTGTGTGGGGAAACAATTCCACTACAGTAGATGTCTATCTGGCAATGCTGTTACCGAGTTTAAGGAAATAATTCCACCTATATCCACTTCAGTGCCATTTGCCAACACAGTGGAAGGAGTCCACCTTAACTTTACTCCCAAACAAGTTGATAGTATTGCAGCCTCCCTGCGTAATACACTTGATACTGTTGCCCCTCTGAAAAAGAAGGTAGTGAAACAGAGGAGGCTAGCACCGTGGTACAGCTCGCAGCTCCGCTCCCTAAAGCAGGCATCATGAAAA